TCTTATCTCCTGCAAACTGGGTTTGCAGGGCACAATAACCTTCTATGAATTATATCTGTGTATACTAACTGTTATCTTAGAAAGAATCTTCTTTTGCTTTGACCCATAATTGTTTCTTATTAGACACTCTTAACCAACAATCCGTAAGCTTAGTGCCTGCTCAAAACCAGCAGTGGATTTTTGAAACGTTGTTGTTGTTCTTAGGTGAATGTAGAAGAAATGTGCTAAACATTAAAAAGAAAATTTGGGAGATATATTGATCATTCTGATGTCCTCACCTGCATTAAACACTTCATATTTTAAGTAATATAATTAGCAATGTGTGTTTTGTATGTCACTAATGAGAGACATTTATTGTGTTGACCCTTCAATTCTGGACTAGTCTCCAGTCAAGTTGTTTCCATTTGCCTAAGATTTTACATTTGGCTTTATTTCCTCTGTTTCTTTTAGGTTTTTGTGGCTTTGGCATATTGACTTTTCATTTTATTGATCTTTCGGCTTCTTCTTTCATGATTGAATGTTTGGAATTTTGCTTTAGAAGTTAAAACATTGAAAACCAAATCATAGTAAATATAAAAAGTTTCCTACAAGTAGTGTAATCCATTGTTTCTCACTTTGTATCTAGAAAGTAGTTCTTGAAAATTATATTTCTCCTTTGCATGAGACCTTTTAAAAAGTTTTAGTTCTTTAGTTCTATTTTTAGTTTCACTAGAAGCAATTACGAAAATTGGAGTTCAGAGCACTTATTTTGAAAATATGGCAAAAAGTAATTAAACTTACGTTTCTCTTTCAGTGAGCAAACATTTGGACTTGATTAAATTGTGTATTTTCATTAAATTGTCTTCAGGTTTTGAGATTAGAAGATGCTAGGCAAGCATGTTTATACAGATGATGTATAGTATTACTATCAAGTCCAAGGCATTTCCGGTAGATGTGGAAATAACCTAGCTAAAGCTTGTGAATTTTGCTAGTTAAAAGCATGCTATATATCGGAAGCAGCAGAAAAATATGAGCAAGTATGAACTCATCCAAGATCGTAGGGACCATTGCATTAATAATTGAATGTAAACACCATTAAGATATGCTTCTGAAAACTCTTACTCAAATATGCCTATGCTGATTACATTTCACATTATAATACTAGTTTATTGTATTATAAAATAAAATATTTTAGCATCACTTCTGTTCTTACTTGCTTACTTGATCTTTCTGCACAATCATTTTCATTCATCACATCATCTATCTTGAAGCACGTGCTGATGTAAATATTCTCTCTTCTGTTTCATATACTTCTAGGAAATTGCAGATTTGTGACTCTCTCTTCATTTCCAGTCCTCCATCTAGTACTATGTAGCAACTGGATGACATAAGCATATAATTAGAAGGCAAGCTATAAATGCTGATTTATAGCACTCAAAAAGTGAAGCCTTTGCCTGATTAATTTCACCGTGCTTTCTAAATAATGCCATAAAACAAATTTCTTTTGGAAATGGCCTATCTAAATGTCATGACTCCATATAATGATGCTTTTAGTAGAAAGTCATTGTTGATGGTTTGAGTAAATACTCATATAGCCTTGTACATTACAGTGTAAGCAAAAGGTCACAGATATTCAGCATGACTATATTTTGTTTTAAATGTCCTTAATCTGGTACTCCTAAAACAGTTTGGTGCCTGTTTTGTGGAACAAGATTCTCTCCCAGAGTCAGATGGCCTTCACCTTGCTGTTATTCAGATGAGCTGTGAATACTTAACTGTTCACCCAGCCCTCTGACAAGGGAAAAAGATCTCTTGTTTTATCCTACTATCTATCTTTATTTTTATGCTTTATTGTGATTCCTTTGATTGTTGTGATCGCCCTATGCTCATTTAAGGTTGGGCGCATATGTTAGTATTTATTATTAAATTATAATCCCCATTATCTCAGAGGCAGAAAATGATGGAATTTTGGTCCAATACATTAGGATTATAAGCAGAAACTGTATAAACAATATTATTATTAAGAACAATCATTTTTAACAATTCAGGAGCATTTTTTCCCCATTATAGTAATGGGCTTGTGGAAGTGAGATTCAGCCATGAAATCTTTTTCAGGATAGTTTGCAATTTTGCCTTAGATAAGTTGTGTGATAAAATAATCAATTGAAAGTAAACCTAAAGCTATTTACAAGCTATAAAGAGATGAAAGGACAGCCAACTTTCATAACATTCTTAAACAGGAAGATAAATAAATAAGATTCATGGGCATACATGGAAGATAAATCTCCCTGTTGCTTAGACCAGGCTGGGTAACAACAGCAACTTTATGATCTGTGGACTTCAATTCCCAAAATTCCTACATCAACATGGCTGGCTCAAGAATTCTGGGAAGTCCACAGGTCATAAAGTTGCCAAGATTGAGAAACACTGGCTTAGATATATGGGTGCAGTTATAGTAGTAGCACTTTAAAAGCTCTCAATCCAGAAGGCAAGCTTGAACTCAGATTAGTTTTGGAACTGTTGTACTTGTAGAATTACTTGCAATTGTCGACTACACCTGAAGCTTATATTTTGCAATTTCTGAAGAGCAATTGTCCAATAAGTGGTGTAATGATGCTAGAAACGCTCACAGCTTTTTGATTTTATTTTATTTGGTTGCTTTCAGGTAATAGGCAGTACATGGCATGTTCAAATGAAACCAGCTGGACTAGTTTTTCTAATTATGTCTCCAGGGTTGTCATTGCCTGTAGGGTAAGACCTGAACAAAGATATCAGGATAATTCTAAAGTTTGCAACTCTTAAAACAGTAACTTACACAATCTTCTGATTTAATATTAAACCCACATTATACTTATAGTTTGGGGATCAATAATTGCTCTTAAGGATTGCATGTCTATAACCTGATAAGTATGTTCTCTTTTCTAGATCAGATTCAATGACTTGGAAATAATCCAACTACATTTGTGTCATGTGAACTCTTTTCTTCAAATGTATAAACACCTGAATACAAAAAAAGAACAATGCGCCTCCCCCCCAGTTTTAGGTTTCACAGAAATCTTTGGTACAGCAAAAATGAAGTAGATGTAAGAATTTTAGCTATTGGGTGATGTGTACCACAAACCACACCTGTAGCATCTTTAACCACACTTAACAGAGTAGAGCTACAGAGGTAGAGTGGAGGATTCCATTTTATTATACAGAATAATCACCTTGTCATATAGAAAAATGGGCTTAGCAAGTCCAAATGTAAAGACTATGGAGATCTGTCATTTCACCTGTCAATAGAGCACAGATTTATTCTTCAAGATGATGTAAAGCTAGCATGACAGTAAGTCATTTAAGCAGATCTTTACTGCTTGTCCCATACAGACTCTTTTGGAAAGCAATAAAATAAATATGTCTTATGAACTACAGTAAGACCCTGTTAATTTGTTCAAGTATATTGAAGTTGAAATAGGCACCTAAAGTACAATACACTAGTTCACCTGAATAAGTTGCTCTTATTCTGATAAATCGAATTGTCTATATATGAGCAGTAGCTAATGGAATTAGAAACATTTTTTCTTGTTAAATCACATCTTTTTGTCAATACAATAAAAAAAAAAGCCATGGAAGATTTTAGGTGGGAGAAGTAGAGAGAAAATCTGATTCATAGAAGAGAAAAACCAAACACTGTGTTTATTAATAGAAAGGATGATATGATAGCTTGGCAGTACATTAATAAACATAAGCTACCTGCTGCAATTAGTTAGATACTCGGGGCATTTAAGAGGAACTAATACAGTCAAGTTTAACCTGCGAAATGAAAGGGGCAAACCCATGTGCCAATAGACGCTCCCATCTACAAATTAATATCTGAGAAGTAAACATATATCTCTTCTCCTTCATCTTCTTCCATAACTGTTGTTACTTCACTTCACATCATCTTCCCTTCAATATCAGCTAGAAAATACTATCTGTAATATACAGGGTGAAGTCTGGATTTAATTTCAGATGGACTGGCGCTATTATTGGAATTGAGTTTGTCAGTGGGTCATGATAGGTGACAGTCTTATCTGTTGCTGTTCCAAACTACTACCCAAAACAGCTGCTTCATTATGAGGTTGTAAAATACTGTGGCTAATTTGTTGCTCTGAATACCCTCTTATGTTGGCTGGTAGGCCAACTGGAAAATTAGTAGTAAGTGCACATCATGCCTGAGGAATTGAGTACTCTTGTGTTAGATTTGAGCATTTGGTATGTAAATGCAGATTTGCAAATCATTTCAAAAGACCATATTAGATAAACAAGTAGATGTTCAGGCAGAGAGATCACTGTTCCAGACACTGGCAGTAATATGGAATTCTTTGGTACACAAGCAGATTTTTGAGCAACAAGTGTGAGTTTATGATTTCAACATCTGCAAGAATAGGGACTCAAAACCACATTGTGAGGCTTGATTGAATTCTACTTATCTTTGATGGTATATTTAAAAAGCAAACATATATGGGGAAAAGCGCATGAGCACATTTTAATATTCTGAAGTATACTACTAGTTTCAAAATGAAGAGTTCAAAACCCTTAATTTGAGCTAATTTACTTTTACTATCTGCCTGTGATGATCCTCACTTTATTGACTATATTTCCCACTGTTAAATGGAGAATTGTGATTTAATAGAAGAGGCAAATCACCTTTTTTAAAGTGAAGTTAAAATACCCTTTAAGACAACTTCAACAGAGGTGAGAAAAGACAGTCTGTAGTTTTCTTGGCAACAATATGCCATTTCCTTTTTCTGGATGCTTTCTCAACTCCACAGCTTGATATTTCCACGTGACCTTCCCAAAAATAATCTGGATCCAATCCAGATTACCTTTTTGATATCAGTCAAGTTCAACTAGTTGCTGCCAATAATTCATTACTAATAAATCGTTAGGTGAATAGATTTCAATAGTTACACTGTGGTCGGCTATTGTTTTAAAGCTATACAATCCTCAGTAAGACTGAATATCCTTTTAAAAAAATACACCTTTCTCTTTTGCAGATTATTATAGGGGAGTTCTATCGGATTCATTGCCTAAAGGAGAAATCTCGATCTTTTATCCAGAATCCATACATTGCAGCATTATACAAGCAAGTGGGATGCTTTGCATTTGGCTGTGCTATCAGTCAATCCTTTACTGATATTGCCAAAGTATCGGTAGGACGGCTGAGACCTAATTTCATTGCAGTGTGTATGCCAGACTTTACAAAAATCAACTGCTCCCAGGGTTACATACAAGAATATCAGTGCTTCAATCCTGATGAAAGCAAAGTCCAGGAAGCAAGGTAAGAATCTCCGCCCCCCTCCCCCCCCAAAAAAAGACATCTGTAACTCAACCAAAACAATGTTCTTTTGTCTATGTAGATTTCATAAATGTTGCTAAAAGTACATGGAAGAAGAATGCAAAAGAATTTTAACATTGTTGGGAAATCAAAGTTTAAAAAAGCAATTAAGAAGCGGTATGACTGATGTATCGAAAGAAGTTATTTTCCTAAAAGTATAGAATATAGTGGTCAATATATATTTTAGGATTTTAGATAGGATTATACATACCAGTTTAATTCAACTGTAAAAGTGAATTGGACAGATTCTCTCAGAAAGGCATCATCTGTGAATCTATATGGCATACTAAATACATATTATATGCTGTATAAGCAGAAGTGTGCATCCTCGTGCTGGGCACAATGATGATTGCATTGTTTCCATTTTCTACTTCTCAATAGTATGGACTTCATAGGAAGATTGGATAGCAATAGCACTTAGAATTATATACCAACCCATAGTGTTTTGCAGCACTATCTGGTGGTTTACAGAGCCATCATATTTCCCCCAACAATCTGGGTCCTCATTTTACCGTCCTCGGAAGAATGGAAGACTGATTCAACCTTGAACCTTGTCAGGATTGAACTCCTGGCAATGAGCAGTGAGTTACTTTGCAATATTGCATTCTAATCACTACACCACCATGGCTCATGATAGTTGTTTAGTAAAAGAGCCGAGGTGGCGCAGTGGTTAGAGTGCAGTACTGCAGCCACTTCAGCTGACTGTTAGCTGCAGTTCAGCGGTTCAAATCTCACCGGCTCAGGATTGACTCAGCCTTCCATCCTTCCGAGGTGGGTAAAATGAGGACCCAGATTGTTGGGGGCAATATGCTGACTCTCTGTAAACCGCTTAGAGAGGGCTGAAAGCCCTATGAAGCGGTATATAAGTCTACTGCTATTGCTATTGCTATTGCTATAAAAGCCAAACAGAGATAGTCAATCAATTTGAACGTTACCCAGAATCACCTTGTATGAGATGGGGGGGCTGTATAAATGTTTGCAGTGACAAGCATTTGATAACTACTTACCCTGTTGATTTATACTACACATAGATCAGTTAATATTTCATCTTAGGTGTCTGCTGTCTCTGACAATTATTCAATTCTGAATTAATAGTTGCAAATGAATTTGGATGGAATAAAGAGAAGTTTTTGTTTTGTGGATTTTTCACCTTAACAGATAAGAAAGGAGAGTAATTGACCATTTACTCAAATAACAGAGTGAATGCAATGCTTTGTATTTTTTTTTCCTTTTCAGGAAATCATTTTTCTCTGGACACGCTTCCTTCTCACTCTACACCATGCTTTATTTGGTGGTAAGTCAAAAGTTATTTTATTTAGCAAATCATGTGTAATCTCTCTCTCTCAGGTTTTATAATGAGAAATGAATGAATATTATGAACCAGAAGAAGTAAAATATCACTACTACATATATTTCATGTAATAGAATCATAGATTAAAGCTTTATTTATTAAAATCTAGAATATAACTTCAAAGGCTTGTCTCTTAATCGTAGTTTACACAGTCACGTTCCTATATGGAGTCGTGACCCGTCAAAACCGTGCTTGACTAAGCCGCGCCCAATTAAACCGCGTCACTGACGTCATCAACAGTGCGACAACAGCCAGCGCGGAGAAAGAAGGGCGCTTTAAATAGCGCTTTGAAAGCAAGCCGATTCAACTTAGGGTAAGGGTTAGGTTTAGGGTTAGGTTTAGGATTAGCTTTAGGGTTAGGTTTAGGGTTAGGTTAAGGGTTAGGGTTAGGGTTAGGTTAAGGGTTAGGGTTAGATTTAGGGTTAGGTTAAGGGTTAGGATTAGGTTTAGGTTTAGGGTTAAGTTAAGGGTTAGGTTTAGGGTTAGGTTAAGGGTTAGGGTTAGGGTTAGGTTTAGGGGTTTAGGTTTAGGGGTTAATTTTAGGTTTAGGGTTCACAGCGTGCTTCTGTCTCCGCGCTGTTGTCGCCCTGTTGATGACGTCAGCGACGCGGTTTAGTCGGGCGCGGTTTAGTCGAGCGCGGTTTTGTGGTGGAACCATATGGAGTTGTTTATGCAAGAATAAATCTATGGTTAAAAAAACAAACCCTGTTATTTATGAAGAAGCATAGACACAGTATTTCAAATTCTGTTAGTTCATAGAAACTAACTTGACTTTTACAAGTTCATCCATCTACATATAAAATTGCTTTGAAAATGCAGTATTGTAAACACGAAGAAATGCAGTCATGTGAACAATGTTATTTTGGCTTCCAGCCGTCATTTCCATATAAAACAATGTGGCACGAATCCTGCAATACTGGTTTTTCTCTTTACATTTAAGAGTTTCTGATAGCTGTTTTGCATCCAGGAGATCTTAGATTCAAATCAGGGACATACAGGTTTTTTATCTAGAAGATCCAGAATTCAACTTGTGGAATAGTGTTAGGAAGGACTGAAATACTGTAAGATCTCTGAATTGCAGTGGTAGGCTACCATGAGTTTGACGGAATGGAATCCTACATAGAATATGTCAATTGATAGCCCAGATTAATTGCTTGATGCACTTAAAAAAGAACACCACATCTCAGTTCAGGTAGAATAATAACACAAAGCCATGTGACAAAGGTGTGTAGTCCCTCCCCCATGTGTCAGCCTCACTGGGTAGGTCAGACCAGAAAATCAACTCCACTGGAAAGATGGCAGAGATTGAGATTAGCTGTAGTACCAGAATCTTGCGAGTTGTACTGCATTTCAAACTTCCTTATGGTCCAGTGAATTCGGAAGGCCTCTGCCTGCGATGCTTTTGAACGTTATCTCATTCTGGACTTAACAGTGTTTTACTGATCATGAAATTTTATTTTAATGTATGCCGATTAGTATACATTTAAGATGACAATAAAATTATTCTAAGTCTCTAATTAACTGGATTCAAGATTTTCCTGTGCACCGCTTGGAGAGTCCAAGCGACGGGTTAAATCAGTCTGGTTGCCCTGGGATTGAGGAATCTTTTTCCTTGGCCACGCCTCTTGGTGTTACTTGGCGCCAGAATTTTTCCTCAGTCTGCCCGTTCAGCTCACTTATATTTGTGAGCTCCAGCGTAATTTATCTAGGCTTGGACTCTCCTTCTAGTATTTTCTTTTCTTTTTGTTTAATGTGTTTTTCCTATAATTAGCAGTTCATTTGTCTGCCCCTTTTTGCTTCACGTCGTTTTGATTTCTCCTAGAGACACGGAGATAGGCACAGGGGAGTGCTCCGCTTGCCACGCCACCTTTTGCCGCGCAGGAGCAGCGAGGCTTCCGGCAGCTGCCGGCGTTCCTCTTTTAGTTGGAATTGTTGTGTTTTTGCATTTTTTCTCGCCTTTTGGAGGGTGTAGCCTGCCGCGGAGGGGTGCACGGTCGCTTTAACGTGGCCGCCATCTTTACCTCCTCCTTCTCCCTCGCACCGGAGCGGCGGCCAATTGGGAGGGCATGAATTCTCGCCTTTCCTCCCATTGGTGTTTCCACTCAGCCACGCTTCTGCAGCTATCCGCAGGGTGGTTAGCTGGCCTTGATCGGGTCTCCGGCTGGGTCACTTTCACACACATCATTTCCTCAAGCGGCGTTGGCGTCTTGGCCACCTGGTAGTCATACACCAGCACAGGGAGGATTTTTATGTAATTTTTTTGCCTTTTATCTACTGATTCTCCCTGAGCTATCTGCCCGGTCTTGCAGCCTCGGATGCTTTTCCACTTTCTCACCTCCCATCAAGTGGCTGGATTCATTGCAGAGCCCCTGTTTTATTCCTCTGGATTTTTTTCCCCACAAACTGTTCCTGCTTCCACAATATCTGCGTGTCATCTGATCCAGCACCAGGCACTAGATTCTCCTGCATCTCCTGACCTCCACCTGTATTGGCCAATTGTCTGAAGTCTGTGCCATCAGGCCATGGAGCATCCTAGCCCATCTGACTCCCCTGACTGTAGACCAGGTCCCTCTTGAGCCCCTAGCAATGGAACTTCTGCAAGCAGGGGCAAGGGGATAAGGAAGGACAGGTGGCCAGTCAGGATAGCCATTCATCATCAACACGTCCTCCTGATGATGGACAATGTGGCCACCAAGGCCCATATAAATCACCAGGGCGGCACTAGATCCAGGAAGCTCATGGCGGAGGCGTCGGCCCTGGACAGGTGGGTGAAGCGTCACGTTGCATCCATTCGCTCCGACCACATCTTGGGAGTGGACAACACGCAGGCGGCCTGGTTGAGCAGGACCACCATAGACAGTGCAAAGTGGCATCTGTCCAGTTTCGACCAGTTGTCTCACAGATTTGGCACACCAGTGATCGACCTGTTCGCCACCCGAGAGAACACGCAGCTCCAGCGCTTCTTCTCCCGCTTCCACTTGTCAAGGGCGGAGGGGATGGATGCCCTTCGATGCAGATGGCCTCAGGGTCTTCTGTACGCCTTCCCACTGCTTTTGCTTCTACCACAGGTAATATGCAAGATCATCACGGAGAGGGCGGAGTCCTGCTCATAGCTCCTCACTGGCCTTGCAGGTCATGGTACGCCGACCTTGTCAGCCTGTCAGTGTCATCCCCATGACGGATTCCTCGGGACCAAGTCTCCCTCAGCCAGGGGGCCATAGTACACCCGGACCCGCAGTGGCTCCAGCCAGCCATCTGGCACTTGAGGGGGATCTCCTGAGGAGTGAAGGCCTGTCGGAGGAGGTTGTGCATACCATCCAGGCGTCCAGACGACCATCAACAACCAGAATAAATAATTCCACCTGGTCCACTTTCTCCAAGTGGCGTGACAACTACCGTCTCGATCCAGTCACTGTGCCTGTTTCCTGCGTACTGGACTTTCTACAAGGTGGCCTAGACAAATGTCTTGCCCCTAGTAACCTTCGTCGTCAGGTGGCGGCACTATGCACCGTCTGGTCCGGCGACCTGGCCCAGACCCTCAGCAAGATCTCGAGGGTTCGCTGTTTCCTCAAGGGCGCCTCCAACTTACGTCCTCCGTGGTTCACTGCTATCCCACCTGGCAGCTATTGGTGGTCTTACAGGCTCTTACCTCTACGCCCTTTGAGCCTCTATGTACGACATCTCTTCGTCACCTCACCTTAAATACTGCCTTTCTTGTTGCAATAACATCTGCGAGATGCATCTTGGAACTAGCGGCTTTATAGGTCCGGGAGGATCTATGTGTCGTCCAACCGGACAAGGTCGTACTGCGTCTGGACCCTGCTTTCATCCCGAAGGTCAACACCTGGTTCCACAGGACGCAGGAAGTAATCTTGCCTAACTTCTGCCTGCGCCCCAACCACCCGAGGGAAAGTGGTTGGCACAAGTTGGACGGCAGACGGTCCCTGCGGATATACATCAGATGCTCTGCGGACTTCCGCAGGTAAGAGGCCCCCTTGTTTCGTTCCAGCCCGGCTCTTTGGGTAAGAAGGTGACATCTTCCACGGTCGGTAGGTGGCTAAGAGCATGCATTGCAGCTGCATACAAGCACCAGTCCAGGGTGGTACCCCGGCATATTACCGCCCACTCCACTAGGAGCGCTGCCACCACGGCCTGGGCCACCCAGGCTACCATTGAAGACATCTGCAGAGCGGTTACTTGGTCCTCACCATCGCCCTTTGTCAGGAACTATAAATTGGACATGTATGCCTCGGCCTCGGCATCTTTCGGCAGTCGGGTGCTACAGGCAGTTGTTTCCACGACTGAATCCCGAGATTGTTCTTCTGCCCGCCCTAGTGACATATAACTTGGGTATGTTCCGTCGCTTGGAGTCTCCAAGCGGTGCACAGGAAAATGGCCATTGGCTCACCTGAAGGGTCCTTTTCTGTGCACTGCGGGAGAGTCCAACCCACCGTGGTTTCTCAGTCCAGGGATTCCTGACCATCGTGTCAACTTGGACTTTCTTTACCTGATTCATCACGCGTCCAGCCTTCACGGTTCCAGACCATCTCAAAATTCTGGCGCCAAGTAACACCAGGGGGCGTGGCCAAGGAAAAAGATTCCTCAATCCCAGGGCAACCAGACTGATTTAACCTGTCGCTTGGACTCTCCCACGGTGCACAGAAAAGTATCCTTCAGGTAAGCCAATGTATTGGTAAGCCAATACATTAACTAGATTCTGCTCCTTGTTAAACAGCCTAGTTGGCTATCGAGCCAACATTAAAACAAATCCAGGTTAACTAATACTACCTAGGAACTATGGTTTTTTGATCTTGATCATCAACAATATTAGCCCAGAAAAAATGTTAAAGAAGTCAGCATAATTTTAAGCTTATAGGAAAAGGAAAGACAATTTTTGAGGAAAAAAATGAAAGCTCTTTATTTTAACTTTAAAACATTGTTGT